ACTAATCAATTTATTTGTTCGAAATAATCTACATATGTATAATAAAACAAAGCACTCTACAAAACTAGTAGCTGAAACGCTTCAATAATCTGCAATAATAAATTAATAAATTAATAATTCCAATACAAAATTAATTTAAATCTAACTGAAAATAAATTTTATAAAATTATCAATGGTAATTATCGACATCAATTATTGTCAATTATTAATTATTGTAGAAATGAGTGCGATCGGCATTATTGAAAACAAGATAAGATAAAAACATAATAAATTGATCACGCTTTCAATGCAATTGAAGCTCAGGCTCTTGAAGCTCTTGAGCATTTACTGGCAAATAAATGCATTTTAGAAAAATAAAAATGAGAAATAATAAAAATTTGTTTTAGAAGTCCGTAAACGATTTGCCACCAACGCTTAATAAAATTGATTATAACTGAAGTCAAGATAAATCGAGTAAATGTACAAAAGAGGGAGCATTCCTACTCGTATGTGTCCAGTGTCTAGTGTCCAATGTTTTTAGTTGAAAGGAGCGCAGCTTGCAGCTGGTTTATTGCACGATTTAATATTAGTTAATTTGATAAATAAATTTAAGATGAAAATTCAATCAAAAGCAATTAATGTAATCGCATATGTGTACGAATTTAACCACGACATATACCTATAAACATATATAGGAGGGAAAAATATTTTCACAAGACTTTTAACCAAACAAAGTTAACAACCATTAGTTTAGTATTACATATAGTATAATCAGAGAGTCGATTCAGTCAAAAAATACATTAATGATCGTGCACTGAAAGTATTCAACATAATTGAACAGCCCTTCTTGATGTACAAAAGCAACAGCTTATAAGATCAATTGTGTCGATTTGGCCACTCGCAAGCTCTATATCTTAAGTGGTTGCAGCATGGATTTCTATAAAGGCTGATAACCATATTTTTTTAAGGTAACTCATGTCGCCTAGAGTATGTGATAAGTTCATGGTAATATATTCTGCTATAGACATTTAATGCAATAGGTGGACACATGACTGCAAACTTGACCACTACTATAATAGATAAGCAAATAAGAGTAAATTGAGTAGTACTTACATTTATTACTAGAGCTACATAGTGCTTATATTATGTTAGGTTGTACCAAACTTTAAAAGGCTTTAAAACTAATGCTCTCAAGCGTAAATAATGACCTGATGTGTTACTAGGGATGACACACTGTATGTAGGCGTCCCTTTCAGAACGCATTATTCTCAAAGGATAAAAAAGGAATTAATATGATAACTTCTGACAGATTTTAAAAAATGGTAACTCCGTCAGGTTGGTTTCAAGGCTTACATCACCGAAGTTTAACATATAGATAGCGCGATTAAATCTCAATACAACAGACTAAGTGTAGCTGTGCTTGGATTTTATTGAAATACTTCTGCATGTTAAGTACTACTATTAATTAATTTGCGGTTTATACGCAAATTATGACCACAATGCAATTACTTTTAAATATACGAGTATAGTAATATGATATAATATTACTTCATTAAATAAAAAAAAATTATATTTCTACAATACACATTATAATAGTCCAAAAATAAAATTAATATTCATTCATTTGCCTTAGAAAAACGCATTAATCTCAAAAAATATCTAACGACAAAAATATTTATGCAATAAACAAGATTTTTATCCGCCAACAAATGTTGCCGCCACTACATGTTGCAGACACATTTGGCTCATGTTTTACTAACATTTTCCTACCAATTTTAAGATCTGCTTTTGTATCTGAAAAATGTCATAAGTTGTTGATTTATGTCATGATATGGATATTGAGAATTTAAATTTTATTTTACTCATTTTATTCATTTTTGACTAAAAGGAAATTTTTGAAATTTTGTGCTGATTTGCAATTATCTGGGCGTACATTAAACATGGTTTCGATATGGCTTAATTTGATCACTGAATGCGCATTAATGCATTTACGAGTATATAGTATGTCACAGATCCAAATAGCTAAACTCATACATTCGATTTATCTTGTACATAATTTTAATCTTTTATGTGCATATATTGACTTAATTTGAAAACGAAAACTGCATTTTTATGCGTTCACATTTGCGAGCTTTCAACATTCATTGGTTGGCAGTAAACCTCATGCATTCAAACCAGGCCACACATTACTTTAATCCAACTCGAATAAGTGCACTATATGAGTATATATTTGAAATTGCTCTAAAAATAATTGAAATGCTCCAAATAACATTTGTGCATTAAATTTATTTAGTAAAGTCATTTAGTTAAATAGTTGCTTTCAATTCATTCTAAGTATAGATACTTTTGAATTATCAAATTGTCACTATGTTTTTGATGTTCTCATCCCGATAAGTCAGTACATAAAAGAGTCTTTTAGGAAAGCTATATTTGAAAAAAGTCCTTTAAATTTTTAAAACTCAACGATTTGCAGTACTGAATGCCCTAATGTCTTTAACCTTTCATTTAAAGTCTTTAAAGATACTTAAAGCATTGAGCAATTAAATAAAATAAGGCTTTTGCGTTGGATGCTTGTCTTGTAAAGTCACTTGCGTTTGGTGTGGATATTCCGGCCGTTGCCTTTAATCTTCTAATGAATGTAAAATGAATCTGTGGGACTATTTCAGTTATTTTGCTGTCATTAATGTTTCCATGTGGTCAACAGACAAGTGCGGCTCGGCATGAAAGCCAATGTGAGACATGTAAATTCTCAAAAGGATTTCAGACTTGCCAGCCTACACAATTTTTGTTTGCCAAATGGCACATGTTCAATGTCTGATTTTGTAATCTAAAGACTTCAGTTTCACAGATCGAACCAAAAGTAAATGTCAATTATTCAATAATCCTATAGAGGTTAACGTAAAAGTGGGCTTGAAAACAGGAACTGGAATTTTGTTTCATAAAAGCAAGAAAGTAAAAACTTAACCGCGGAGCAAAGTGAGTCAAACTATTGGAAACTGACTTTGGAGAGTTAGTTTGCATCGAAGTATAACTTTATTGCTTCCTTTAATTTTATTATCGTTCTATTTTATTTATTATTCAGCTTATACTAATACTAATATTTATATATTATTTGCGCGTATATTAACAGAAATTTGACAGCCATGAAAGTACTTTATAGCAACATTGCAGTTTAGTGAATATGAGCAGAACTTACAGCATTTATTAATTTAATTTTGAAATGAACTTTAATGGATAGACACTTTCATCAAATCTAATTTATGTCATATATATAATTAAAGTGATTCCATTACTTGTCAACTTGAAGTTCTTCTGAAGTATCCTCTTGCAAATATATTTATATATACATATGTATTTAATTAGAAAATCTTTGGTTTTATTATTTCAAGACTGAAATACGGATGTGTTTGTCAACAACGCCGACTTAATGTTCTGGACTTTTATGAAGAGTCTCGCGCACTGGTTCGATAGTGACATCTGAATGTCTAGTTTTTGGAGTCTAGTGTGTTTAAAATCACCAATTGTAACAGTTTAACTGTATTTAATTTTTTAATTACTCTCGATAATATTTTATAGGAAATTTTTGAACTGTGGCGGTCAGAGTTTCCATATTTTTAAAATATTGTTTAACAAAGAAGACAAGTTCTTCTATCGTGTAACGCTGGATTTTAATTAACTCCAAACTACCAACTATTGAGTGGGTGCTCAATACTTTTCTGCTTGATACTTTTCTAACATCCTTTATTTCGTAGTGAACTTGCATTAAATACAATTCCCACATATATGCAGTTGGAATAAGTTTATAATTTTAAACAACAATTCATTTTTTACTTTTAGTTCTTTTAAACTTTTACTTTTAGTCAAATAATTTTATATTTTCAATTTAGAATTACAACTAAAACATATAACATTATGTTAATTCACCTTATTAAAGTGCAGTAATGAACCAGATATTATTATCAATATTAGTGTCATACTATAACGTGTTTCGGACAATATAATTAAGAGAATTGAGATTAATATTTCAAACCTAAGCGTATGCAGGAAAATAAATTATTTGAATAAGTATAAGTTCAATGAATCCACATAGATTATGTCCATGCTAGTCTTTATAGCTTAGCTAGAGACATGTTATAATTTCATTAAACGATCCTCAGCATTGCAATTGAAGGTTGTTTTTGTTATCACAAACAAGCGATCGATTCATTTATTTAAATTGAATGTGTTTACTCAATATATCTGATCTACAGCTTCTGCTGTCTCAAGGAACACTACAATTGAAATAACCAGACTTTTAATTTCATATGGCAAAAACTGCAACTAAATGTGCGGGAACTGTGGCAATTAAAAATATTGTTTCTATTGATTCCCAAAATTGATATGCAAATTAAATTAAGTTTTAATATCAACTCAATATATTTTTAGTTGTCAATAAATAGAGTAGCAGACTTTAGGATGTTACTTTTTATGTACATTGCTCTAAGTTCACTAAGTTGACTTTAGTGAAGTTATGTTAAGTAAACTACAAGTATAATGTAAAATAAATATAAAATAAAATAAAAAGTAAATAAAAGGGAGCATTATATTCACAGAAAAAGTTTTTACAAAGCGTCTATACAAATTTTTGAAGAAAACATTTCTAGTATTGTTGTCGTCAGTGTTTTAAAATTCAATTAATATACATATTTACAACAAATATTTACAAAATGTTTCTAACTATAATGCTGCGATGCTGTGATGGTTAAAATTCAACAAATATTGATTTAAATTTTTATCAGACAAGATACAATCGATAGCAAAAACAAATACTTAAACTTGTTTGGCAATGGAAGAAAGTTCACTGACTTGGAGAGTATACTTAAGTACATTAAAAAAAGTGAAGTTAGCTTAAACTATGGAATAAACTGGAATATGGAGAAATTTTTAAGACTTTTTATATGCATCTATAATCAAACAATTTTTTGAAGAAAACAGTCTTAGTTCTGCTATCGACTGTGGTTAAGCTCTGATAACAAAAAATTATGAAATACTACCAAATACTTTTAATAGCGTTGTTCTGCAACTTAATAGACTTTAACATAGCTGCTTCACTTAATAATGAAGACATATTCAGGGATTTCATGGTAAGTTGAAATTTATTGGGAACTGGAAGTGCCTGACTCATTCTCGTTGTAGAAAAAGTACAATAAAATCTACGATACTGCTGAGGAATTCAAAAGGAGACTTGAGATATTTATTGAGAATTTAAAATTGATAACTGAACACAATTTGAATTTCACTCAAGGAATTTCGACCTTTGAATTAGAAACCAATGAATATGCTGATTGGTCTGCGAAGGAATTTCAAGGATTTATGAATGGTCATTTAGAGTACACTAGTAGGTGAGTAATTGAAAAATTTGAATTATAGATGTGCCGAATAGGCTTTTAATACGAGAGTAGTTGAGTTTTGTTGAACAAATCAGGAGGACTTCAGACCTTAAATGGATGTTTATTCTTAGACTGGCAGGTTAAACAAAAGTTAACAACATTTGAGAATAGCATGAATAAGTTGCATAAAAATTTTGTTAATAAATTAAGTTCTTAGGAATTATTATTTTATTCAAACAATTGAAAATTTTTTTATTCTTATGATATTTTATCTATTATATAAAACCAAAACCTTTGCAACGTTTTTAATAACGTAATTCACTGTGTTTTCTTTTTTAACAGAGATATTGAACGCGGCTTTCTCTATAATCCACCGTTAAACAAGAATCTGCCTTTGAGTATTGACTGGCGTGAATTAGGCGCTGTAACACCAGTCAAGAAACAAAGTAAGTATAATATTAAAAAAAAATATATTGGAAAAATAAAAAAGATTTCATTCCGCAGATAAATGTGGTTCCTGTTGGGCATTTGCAGCAACTGGTGCTCTAGAGTCACATAATTTTCTCAAAACTGGCAATCTTGTCGAATTTTCGGAACAAAACTTAATAGACTGTGTTGTACCGACTGAATATATTGGTAACGGATGTCATGGCGGTAATAAGGAACAAGCTTTTCTTTACGTACAAAATAATGGTGGTATTAACACAGAACAGACGTATCCATATTTAGCTATGCAACAGGATCATTGTGCTTACAATGCAGACATGTTGGGTGGAACTTGTCAGGGTTATATACGCATTGAACAAGGAAATGAGGAGGCTATTGGTATAGCAGTAGCCACTGTTGGTCCAGTCACTGTTGCAATAAATACCAAATGTTTTAAATTTCAATTTTATAAACGTGGCGTATTTAGAGATGATTTATGCGATCCAAAGAGTTTGAATCATGGAATGTTGATTGTAGGATATGGTAGAGATAATACAACTGAAGAAGACTATTGGATTGTGAAAAACTCATGGGGAAAACAATGGGGTATGAATGGATATATAAATTTCCCACGACATGAAAATTATGCAGGACTTACTACGCGTGCTAGTTTTCCAATTGTTTGAAGCATCCAATGTTTTATCGACAAAAAAAGCTAAATATTTATACGAAATGCATATAAATAAATTAAAAGGAAAATTTCATTGTTTTTATTACTTATCGAATATGTGAAGTTTCTTTCTAATGATTTAAATATTAGACTTAAAGTATTCGAAAATATTTCTTATAAGTTTCTTACGTGTGGAAATATCGGATCGCATGACTGGCAACATGAGAACAAATGTGCAACACAAGTTGACGCAGTTCAGTGTGTGGCCTTTCATAGCCAACAACACATGGAGCTCATGTGCTCCAAGACTATTCACTCTTGTTTATTTTGGCGTGACTAACAACCTTCGCTTCCTAATGAAACAGAAATATCCAGCGATAAGCATTGCTACAATTGTTCCATGTACGAGTACTCGTACTTCATGCTGCTTATGTTATTTGCTGTAACGACAAGAATCTCGTGTTGCCTCACAATATTCATTCGAAATCGATAAATAATTTCGAAATTATTCTTGCGGATGTGAGGCCTACAAGATTATGTCCACAGGATTTGATGGGATTGCATGTCGCCAATATTTAAAACATTTATTCTTCTTAGAACATTGCTTGTTTGGCATGTGTTGCTTAATGTTTTGGTTCACTTACATGCAACTAAGAACACGTCGCTGATTTTGTTTCCATGCTTGCAACATAGTTGTTGAATGTTTGCAGCACGTGAATTGTATGTTGAAAATACAATATTTAGGAATATTTTAGAGGCATGAAAACTGTAAGACTTATTTATGATAGCTAGAAACACAAGGATATTGCACCACTGCAAAGTTATTTTGTCATCAAAATTAAAAGTTTTGAAATGATTTGTCAAGTAATTTGTTTCAAGATTAGAAATCGTACATTTGTCGAAAGGAAATCCGCCTTCATTATATTGCTCAAATTAATGTTAGCAGAAAATTATTTCAACATTAAACAATTCTCGTAAAATAGAAGTATATAATTTACACAATCGTTTAAGTTAATTTTTAAGTATGCGGACTATCTACATATTGGTTCCCAACCTCAAAGGCTCGCTACTCTCTACTACCTACCAGCGGGAATATTTGAAAAGTTCAAGTCTCATTCTTCATGCGAAGCAACATCACTGTCAAGTTGATTGCAGCAAAAATGTTTAAGCGCTGCTGTTTATGCCACAATTTGCTCTTATGAGTGCAGCTTTTGTAATTCTACGCGTATAAGTCACATTTCAAATTTCTAATCCTATTACTCGTTACTTCAGTTTAACTTCATTATATCAGATTTGCCTCCTTTCTCGTTCTTTTGTAAGTTGAGTGCAGCGGATTCCGGAATTTCATGTTTTTTGCTTTCATGTTTCATGCGGTCTGTGTCGGATTGCGGTGTCGGATTACCAATTTGTAAGAGAATGTGCCTTACAAGCGCGTACGCATTTAGTTGCAGCTCACTGAACTGTGCTCGAAAAGGAGAAAAGTGAAGACTGGTGACAGTAAATCAGCTAGGTCCGGTCTGCTGATGTACTTCGAGGGGCACATTTGTGGCCGGCTTAACGTACCGTGTTCGACTTGTCATTTGCTATTTTATTAGAGTCATAATTGATGTGGCGTTGACAATGAAGAGGCATGCACTTAAAATGCAGGACTTATTATAATCATAAAAATAATATTTTATTCAAATGCAATTCGTATGCAGGGACAAGTTTATTTCACGTAATTTGCATAACATAAAATCGAAAAATTATGTCGTAAACTAGAAAGAAAGAAAGCCTACCTCAAGCTTTGGCAAGGCATATAAACACAAGTGACGAATACGCATGGGATTTTCGGTTGTAAGTTCGAAACTTAAGTCTTTTGTGATGAATGATTTTATATTGTATTCATTTAGCTCTTAACTGTTAACTATTGATCAGCAAAAAGTTGACGATTAACATATATTCAACATAAATCTGTATCTTACATGAACCTATCATGCATATACTGAACTGCTTACAGGAACTGACTGTAAAAAACAACTTGTAAGACAGACGTTATGTGATTTTTTGCACAAATTATTTCTAACTTAAAATAAAGGCCACTCTTTTCTGTGGCCCAGAATTCAAATCTGGTTAAGTCACTATCCAAATAACCTTAAAGACCTTGAAGTCTTGAAGTTCATATTAGGAAACTGCCCTGCGTTCATGCAGAAACAAATAGATTTTAGGTGGAAACTGAACAATTCCTGATGTATTAAAACTTCGTAGAGTAGGACACATACTACCATTTATCGAAAAGATAAGGGCTCGTGAATCAACTTAAGTCCAATAGGGGATACAATAGATGTTCATATTGCCATATCATATTTCTTCTTTATGGTAGCTTTATTAGAAGTTAAGATCACAATTTGTAAAACAAGAAACAGTTCTTGAAGTTCTACTGATCGATAGAATTGTGAAAAGTTATTTTACCGTCTCTGCAGCTCTTCAATGGTAGGACTAATTTAATAATGCCTCATCCGTAAATAATTCATGTGTACCTTCATGGATTTTAGTTTGTTTTTTTTATGTTGCAGATGTTGTGTGCAATAGTTATTGTGACTTACATTTGCTGTTCATGTGTTATGCACCTTACTTTTCATGTTGCAAATACTGTATTTGCTGCTATACTGTAATAGCTCGCATTGGCCAATGTTGTCAAGCAAAGCTAATGTTAATTACTTTCAAGTATTCTTAATCGTCGTGAAGGTTTTGGTGTTAATTTTTCTTACTGTTATTTTATTATTTTTATTATAAGTACTAGTAGTTAAAAACTTAGAACAGTTTAAGTGTCGAGATAAGACGCCTTCTACAATTTGTGATATATGCTGCCGAAGCAAGACAAATTCCATGGCAACCTTGAAGTCACTGTCTGATTTATTCCTCCTCATATGCAAATTCACAAGACAGAATCAGTTTCGAGCAATTTGCAAAACGATGCTTGACATTTAAGACTTGGAAAAATATTAAGTGCAACAAAAATCGGAGTGTAGTAGGAATTCTTCATATTTTGACAACTACTATTCTTAGTTTGGAGGAAGGTTAGTTGCTATCTTTTTCATTTTTAAAATAAAACTTCAAATACTTCAGCAAATTTGTCAGATGGAAAAGTGTGCCGATAATCGGTTTTTAAGTGGTTTTAAATTAAAGCGTTCTATTTGGAAGTTAAGTCAGTTCAATTTATTTTTAGTTATAACCCAGTAAGAATAAAGTGCTTAAAATAGTAAATAGTAAAGGTATAAATGAGCAAATTTGCAAGTACACTTCACTACAGCACAAAATCTGTTAGGTACTACTAATTTCTAAAATAATTTACTAAAATTAACTTACTAAAATTATCTCTGAACGCAAATTTTTAAGATTCTTAGATGTTAAATTACATTTCCATAGCGCTAATTGGCAGCTAATTTATGTTGCATTGTAGCACTTTTTGCACACATTTCTATTTACATATGGAAATCGAAACAAATTTAAATAACGTGGAGTTTGAAATTCTTTACAATATATTAAGAGTCGATTTATTATTAAATTTCTTTTTATCTGTTGATGTATTTATGAAACATAACTGATGCGGACAAATTTTAAGTCTTTATTATTCGCATATTACTAAGTTAATTAAAAAATATATTAGTTGAATATTAAAGTGAAAATTCAAAAGGATTTGTATAAAAAAGTTTAAAACAATTTTAATTTGTTAATACTATCTATTTAAGTTCAATAAATTATTTGCACTAATAGTTAATTAATGAAGATCCGCACCGAAAACTGAAGTATGTTTATTTGCTATTGAAATTATCTTCAGTAGCAGTTCTACTACTTGTGATGTATCACTATTGAGAAACTATTTTAAAGTAGCCAATTTGCAAGCTGTAACCGCAGGTAAAATAATTTCTATTTATTTGATAGCTTCATTTACTCCTTTTTCTTTAAATCATGTAAAATGCTTCAGTTAGTTACTTTACAACAGTAAATGTTGTTAACATTTTTAGTTAAGAGATTTTTGAAATACCATCAGTGAAAGGAAAGTGTAAATTATAATTAGTTGTATGTAGTCAGAAAGTATTATATTATGTATAATTAGTTTTACTTACTTAGTCAGAAAGTAATATATTAATAAAAAAAAATATAACATATCTTTAATTTTATCTGGGTCTATTATATATTTTTAAGTAAGAAAAATTAACCATTCGGCACAACTAGAGGACCCAGTGGGCATTTAAGTGAACAAACACTTCAGCAAGAATAATTTTATGAAATAGTTCAATTAAAATAGTTCAATTAAAATAGTTCAATTAAAATGTTGTGATATCTGTCCTTTTAAAATAAGAAGTTGCAGCTAGAAATGATTTAACTATTTAAGACACTATTATTACTGAGAGGACGTGGATATATTACTGAGAAGACATGGATTCCGAATAACTTAATCTAAATATTAATCAGAAAATTTAAATTGCAATCGATTTTGATAAAAATTATAACAAACGAAGAATGCTGAATAGAAGTGAAATCATCTATCATCAAAGCAATAACAATTATTGTGGCAATACCGATATTTTGTACATAAATATTTTATGTTATCGTCAAAAGTGCATTAGGAGAAAAATTTATGGAATGCACTTATCTTGTTTCAAATTCCAATTTCAACAGAAACAAAATTGTTTAAACTATTGGCGAAACAAATTGCAACAAGTTTATGGGAGCAATAATTTGTTGCTGCAACATAATCAAATTTATGAGCAACAAAACACGTTGTTATTGACATTTTTATGAATGTAAAAATTTATGTTGTCCAATTTACAAAAAGCAAATTGTCGATAAAACTCAGTTTATTGACAACGTCATCAGCATCAGCATGAGTTGTACGATTCTGTTTATTAACATTAAGCTTTCGCAGATCATTTACATTAACATTAACATTAATTCTGCCAATAACATTAACATAAACCTGTCATCAGTGATTTTTGCCATTATTCTTTTAAGTTTTTAATTATTTGTTGT